CACCTCCCACCAGGCCCCACTCCCGACACTGGGGATTACAATTCAACATGAGATTTGTGCAGGGACAGGTATCCAAACTATATCAGTCCCTTATAATCCTTTTTTATTTCTGATGCATCTGTTGTAATGTCCCCACTTTTATTTCTGTTTTGATTTATTATTTGTGTATTTTCTTTTTTTTCATAGTTAGTCTGGCTAGGGCTTTCTCAATCGTGTTTTGTTTTTCAAATGACCAACTCTTGGTTTGATTAATTATTTTCTATGTTTTTTATTCCCTATTTGATTTATTTTTATTCTGATCTTTTGCAAAAATAAATTAATGGTACTATATAAAACTAAAAAGATTCTACACAGCAAAAGAAATAATTAACAAAGGAAAAGACAACCTACAGACTGGGAAAAAATATTTGCAAACCACATATCTAATAAGTGGTTAATATCCAAAATTTATAAAAACTCTTACACCTTAACTGCAAAAAGCCAAATAACTCAGTTTTTAAAATGGGCAGAGGCGGTGGCTCAAGCCTGTAATTGCAGCACTTTGCTAGGCCAAGACGGGCGGATCACGAGGTCAAGAGATTGAGACCATCCTGGCTAACACGGTGAAACCTCGTCTCTACTAAAAAATTCAAAAAACTAGCCAGGTGAGGTGGCGGGTGCCTGTAGTCCCAGCTACTCGGGAGGCTGAGGCAGGAGAATGGCGTGAACCCAGGAGGCGGAGCTTGCAGTGACCTGAGATCCAGCCACTGCACTCCAGCCTGGGCGACAGAGCGAGACTCCGTCTCAAAAAAAAAAAAAGGGGGGCAGAGGACCTGAACAGATATCTCTCCAAAGATGACATTAAAATGGCCAAAAGATATATGAAAAGGTGCTAAATGTCACTAATCATCAGAAAAATGCAAATTAAAACCCATGAAATACCACCTCACACCCCTGAGAATATCTGTTATCAAAAAGAAGAAATGACAAATGTTGGTGTGGAGAAAAGAGAACCCTAATATATACAGCTGGGGGACAGTAGACTGGTACAGGCACTATGGAAAACAATATAAAGGTTCCTAAAGAAATTAAAAATATAACTACCAATGACCCAGCAAATCCCTCTTCCCAAAGGAGAAGAAAATACCACTTCATCAGGATATCTCCCATGTTCACTGCAACATTGTTCACAATAGCCAAGATATGGAAACAACCTAAATATCTATCAATAGAGAAGTCATAAAGAAAGGGTGGCATAGATATACAATGGAATATTATTCAGCCTTATAAAAGGAGATCCTGTCATTTGCCACAACATGGAAAGACCTGGAGGACATTATGCTAAGTGAAAAACAGCCAGACACAGGAAGAAAAATATTGCATGACCTCACTTACATATGGAATATTAAAAAAAAAAAAAGAGTTCAAGTACACAGAGATAGAGAATGAAACAATGGTTACCTCAGGCAGGGTTGGTAGGGGAGAGGAAATGAGAGAATGTAGGTCAAAGGATACAAAACAGTAGATAGGTAGGATGGGCAAGTCTAGAGATCTCATGTGCAATATGAGGACTAAAATTAATAAAATTGTATTGTATTGGGAATTTTTGTTAAATAAGTAGATTTTAGCTGTTCTTGTCATTAAAAAGTAACTATGTGAGGTCATAGATATATTAATCTGCTTCACTATAGTAACCATTTTATTATCTATGTGTATCCCCAAACATCATGTTGTAAACCTCAAATATACACAATAAAATTTAAAAATCAAAAATAAAATATGTTTTAAAAGAATAAAGGCAAACATTTGAGATAGTCATTTGGGGAGGAAAATAAACATACTGGGGAGATACGGTAAGATCGTTGGGTAGTGCTGAGCACCATTGTGAATCAAGATTATCATCTTAAATGAGAGACTTGGTACATTTGGATGCTTTTCTCCGTAAATATTCTCTTGTTTGGGTACAGCCATGGAGTAGGTATATGACTGAGTTTAGCCATTAGGTCTTTGCCAAACAAAGGGAAAAGGGGTGGAAAAAGTCAAAGGTATTTGCAAGATAATGGTTGTGATGATGGGCCATGAAATATAACTGTGAGGAGGTGGGGAGTGAGTATATGAGGTTACAAAGGGAGTGAGTAATTATTATCATGGGGGTGGAGTCGAAGGAATGAAGGGCACCATGAAGTGGAAGATTGGCTGGTAAGTATGGTGGGAGGGCATAGAGGGGGTGGTTAGAGAGTAGGAGGCGTGAAATCAATTTCAGAGGTCATGTAGTCATTGGCACTGAGGAGGTCAATTGATATGATCATGGGAATGGGCAACTCAGGTAGGGTAAAAGAAATGACGGCTGAATGTGAGGCAGTTCAAAACCAGAGACAACAAGGATACAGAAGTCAAGAATGATGACAAGAGTACAAGGTGGAAGAAAGAGAGTGGGCTAGTCACTGAAGTAATCAATGTATGAAGGGAATGACCAGGGTTTGGTACATGTCAGCAAAATAAACGCCTGATTTTGGGGGTAACTGAGGTGACTAGGGATGTCAGGCATGCTGGAATCAGTCCTGATAATCTCATGACAGAAGGTGGGAAACCTATTGTGGAGCCTAGGGCTGCTGGTTTCTCCAGCATCTGGTGTTTTAAGATCAGCATTTGAGTCCAAACTCCACCACACTAACTGTGGAGCTTGTGAAAGACTACTAAAAACCTACTTATTCTCATCTGTAAAATGAAGACAAATGTTTAATGAATTGCCTAGTTCACAAGGAGCATTTGATATAATGAATGCAAAAGCACTTTGCAAGCTCTAAAGGGCTATAGAAATGTTAGTTAAAATTAAAAATTTATGTCTTGCATTGTCATTACTAGCCTTTAAACCAGAGCTAGAAGAATTACTTATTCATCTCTTTATATGCCACAATACATAACACATATCCTATGATTTAGAGATTACAAGGTTGAATAACACTGAATAATAAAAGCTTATAAAATGAATGAGTCTATGACTAATGTCTCCAATGTTATTATCAACATTACCATCATTACTGTTAAGCATTAATGCTTCAAAAATTGTGAAAAAAGGCTGGGCGCGGTGGCTCACGCTTGTAATCCCAGCACTTTGGGAGGCCAAGGTGGGCAGATTACCTGAGGTCAGGAGTTCAAGACCAGCCTGGCCAACATGGTGAAATTCCGTCTCTACCAAAAATACAAAAATTAGCCGGGCATGGTGGCAGGCGCCTGTAATCCCAGCTACTCAGGAGGCTGAAGCAGAAGAATCACTTGAACCCGGGAGGTGGAGTTTGCAGTGAGCCGAGATCACGCCATTGCACTCCAGCCTGGGGGACCAGATTGAGACTTCATCTCAAAATAAATAAATAAAAATAAAAAATTTTTTAAAAATTGTGAAAAAATACACATCCTGGTTTTTCTTTTTACCAAATCCATTGAAATGAAGAAAAAGAAGTATTTCTTCAAGTTAAAGTCACACATTTATACACTTTGACCTAATAATCTCATTCCCATAACATTTTTATCATTTAATCAAGCACAACATATATTTACTCTTTTCTCTGTTCTTCAGAGAAAAGTGCAGAAACCCTAAGTATGCACATAAATTTTTAGAGTGAACACACACATGTAATAGCCCAACTCCTAAAAATTTGATGTCATAAAATATTCCTCTAAAATGAAAAAGCCTAATGTCTGAAGATGAGATATTCATATTATGTTATAGTGAAAAGAAGCGAAAAAAGCTCATTGTTTGGTGAAGGGATGATGGAGTAAATATTAGCACATAAATTCAGTGGAACAATATGGGGCCATTAAGAACGACAACTGTGAAGAACCCAAAACTAAATCCACCAACTTGAATGCCCCTGAGTTAAGCAGGTAGAAGAACTATGAGAAGCAGCCTGGTATAAGGTGATAAAGCATAGGGGAGGTAGGTCAAAGACGGTCAGAAAATGCAGAGTACAGAGCGCTTGCAGGCCCCACATAAAGACATTCACATTAAAACATTTAAAAATAATGAAGATAAAACATGGTATTGTTGTGGGCCAAATTTTGCCCATAGGTCTTTAGTTTGTGACCCTTTCTGGAGATAGAGGAAAACAGTCAATGGTGAAATAAACACACTAGATATGGCAATGTGATTATAACATAAAGATTATGTTGACATAAGGACAAACACTGGAGGTATGGAAAAAATGAATGTTGGCCTTGTTGGAAACTTGGCCAAATAACTTTGCCCCTTTTAAGCCTCAGTTTCTTCATATGTAAAATAGGGATTTAAAAAATCGCGTCCTTCGTAAAGCTGTTGTAAGGGTTAAGTGTGATTGTAAGGGCAAAGTGAGTAGAAAAGAGCCTGGCAAGTGGCAAATAAAACTATTCTCCCCCTCATTTTCCTCCTCCTCCTCCTCATTGTTATTTTGTTATTATTAACTATTTCAGGATTTTATATCCCACAATCCTGTTTCCCTTTGTTCTACTAACTCCAGCCACAATAGCTTTCTTGTTATTTTTCCAGTATGTTTTAGCCTTAGGGCCCAAATTCTCTAGCCCCTGGTATTTCTCTTACTTCCTAAGAGCTTTTGCTTAAATGATACTTCCTCAGAAGGATTTTCCTGCCTGCCTCATCCTGCTTTTTCTTCATTGCACTTAGAACCATCTGTTATCTTATGTGTATATGTGTTATATATACATACGTTTATATAAACACATATGTGTGTATATCTGTGTATTATATATATAGACACACACAAGGGCAGGACTTTGCCTAACTTGTTTACTGCTATATTCCCAGTTCCTTGAAGGGTACCTGGCACATAATAGACATTGAGGCATTATTTGTTGAATATTGTTAAATGTTTAAAAAAGGGCACAGTTTAGACATTGTGCCCTTTTTCCCCCTTTTATTCTAAATCCCAGAATGACAATGTTTGTAAAATCAATGATTTAAAAGCACATTTTCCTGCAGGTGATCTTAATACGTAACTCTTCATAATCTTTTGTAACTTTTTTGGCAGATCAGCCATGCAGAAGCTGGGGACAGAAGTATTTGAAGAGGTCTATAATTACCTCAAGAGAGCAAGGCATCAGAATGCTAGCGAAGCAGAGATCCGGGAGCGTTTGGAAAAAGTGGTGCCTCGAGCCAGCGACTGTTTTGAAGTGGACCAGCTCCTGTACTTTGAAGAGCAGTTGCTGATCACGATGGGAAAATAACCTACTCTCCAGAACCATCTCTAGGCAACAGTCAAAAAGAAGCAGGAGTTCAAGTGGACAAATGTATGTGAAAATTCATTTAACATAGAAGCTGAACTCTATTATGGGGAATGGATACAAAAGCAGAGCTCTCATATTGACTTTCAATTCCTCGTCAGAAGTACTGGCTTCTTTAGAGAGCGGTGAGCATGGCTGCCTGTGCTTGGAGTCATAAGTGTTATTTGGACTATACCCTGAGATAAGCTTGTAGATCAAGTTTGGCTCTCTTGTAAAGCATTTCTCTCATGTGCGCCCTCAGGGCTTCCAGCAGAATTGAGTCACCCTGACAATGACCTGGGAGAAGCCATGTGCTCTTCATCATTTTCAGCTGGAGGACAGAGCTCAGTGCCTGACTGCCTAGGGTCTCGTGGACTGTGGGCAGCCAGCCAGTGAAAGTCACTGGACCCTAGCCTACAACATGCTGAGCTGCAGCCCAGAAGCCAGACATACCTGTCTTAGCTGACGTGTTTTTGGTCCACTTTTGCCCTTCCATGACTAACAAGGAAGAAATGTATGTATTTCATACACACACAAGGACCTGGATTAAAAATCCAAAGAGTGATTCTCTTCTATGATTTATTTCAAACTCATCCATAGATAATTCAAGATTTGTATTCAAAATAAACATAGTTTTCACAGTTACAAAATAAATCACCTATTTTATCTTTTCCTTATGTAAAACTTTCTTATTGAATGCAACATATCCATCCTTTGATAATTATTACTTAGAGCCAGTAATATTTGGTTAATTTGGTGCCTGTTGGGTACCAGTACTGTACTTAGTAGTTTAAGGGCCTTCATTGGATCTTTGCACTAACTCGACAGAGAGAGAGTGAAAGAGAGAGAAAGAGAGAGACAGAGAGACAGACAACAGAAAGAGAGATGCTCAGGTTAGGTAATTTGCTTAGGTTAGGTTAGGTAATTAACTCAGCTGCAAGAAGCAGAGTTGGCATTACCAACCAGGTCTGTCTCATTCCAGAATCCATACTCTTAACCACTGTCTAGCAGAATTTTCAACCATGGAGCTACATTAGATTTGTTTGTGAAGCTTTTTAAACATAGACACATTTAAATATACTGTTAATGAAAAAATTATTCTGACACTTATTGAAATGGCAAAAAGACTGTACTCAGGACTATTTTGATAGGTATCAACAATATTGCAATATGGGAGAGGCACTGGGCTCAACTCTGAAGTTTCTTTGCTGAAGCAAAGAAAACTAGAGATTATTAGCCAATTAGCAGGATAGGAGCCTTGGCGGATGGAAAATTTCTAAGAGGAGTATTCAAAGGTTAGGGGTTGTATTCGTCTGTTTAGTGTTGCTATAAAAGAATACCAGAGACTGAGTAATTCATAAAGTAAGGAAGTTTATTTCGCTCACGGTTTTGTAGGCTGAGAAGTTCAAGGGCATGGCCCTGGCTTCTGGCGAAAGCTGGCGTGCTCCCTCACAACACGGCAGTGAAGGGGAAGTGGATGAGTACGAAGACAGGGAAACCTAAGGGGTGTCCTGGCATTATAACAGCCACACTTCCGGGAAATAATCGATTCCCACAAGAAGTAATCCAGCCTAGAGAGCAAGAACTCACTCACTACTCTGGATCTGTACCACAGCTATTTATGAGGGTGCTCCCCCATAACCCAAACATTTTCCACTAGGCCCCACTTCCCAACATCACCGCTTTGGGGATCAAATTTCAATGTAAGTTTTGGAGGGGCAAATATTCAAACCATGGCAGGGAGACTCCTGCTAAACTGACTTAAGGCTCCCGCTGAAGGCAGGCGAGGGTCATCAGAGATTGAGGGCAGGTGATGAAGAATCTGATCAGATACTGAGGGTGATCAGCTATCAAATGTGGGGGATTCTCAATAAACTGAGTTTACCAGAATTCTTGCTAAAACTGGATTTGGCAGGCTGAAGACAGAGCCAAGAATGAGTCCTCATAAAAAGAGGGCTCAAAAGAGCCTGTCTAAAGTTTGGTCAAGGAGATAATCTTCATCAATACCCAGACCCACCCCACTCCCTTCTCTGGGAAGATAAGGGGCTAAAACATATCTATTGTTTCAGAACTATATGGGTGAATTTGATGCCCACAGTACTGTTATTCACTTTTCTGCCTCCTGCTGATGACTGAGGAAACTAAGAGAGGTTCTTTATCTTACTAACCTGTTATCAGTGGTGCTGTGCTTCCTGCATGATGCACTCCTTTAAACCAGTGATTCTCACATTTGAGCATGCATTTGAATCACCTGGAGTGCTTGCTGAAGCATAGATTGGTGAATTCCATCACCAGCGTTTCTGATTCAAGAGGTCAGGGTTTCTAACACATTTCCAAGTGGTGCCAGTGCCACTGGTACCACACAGAACCACTGTTTAAGACCTTTCTTTCTGTTGTCTCTCTTCTCCCCCTCCCTCTTTTTGGAACAGTGGTTTGGCTGCTCTTAATTGGGGGCTTAATTAATCTCACATATTGGAAGGTGGTATGAGGACTTCAAAGAAGGCTCCAAAGATTTCAAATACTTCACAGCAAGTATAAACAAGCAGTAATTGGGGTGGAGTGGTAGGGGAGTCAGTGTGAATAACTTGAGAGAACTTAATGGGCTTATTTTAAGGACAAAGGGGCATGGTCACTGTGCCCTAACGCTCTACCCTGTGGCTTCACTTCTATCCCTGCCCAGCGACCAAAGGAACCAACCAGGTGAACCCACAATTTCTCTAGTGCTCAAGGGTTGTGAACATCACTCTTCTGAGTTCCCACAATTCCCTTACACTATGGAGAGGTATTGGGGCTGCACAAATCTTCACTCTGCCTCTTCCCAAAGCTAACAATGCTCGTTCTCACCCTCCCTCCCTGCATACTGGAGAATGATTCCTGGCTGGGAGGCTGGTGGACAGGACCATGTATGTGCTCTCACAGCCCCTGTGTCTGCAGCAGGAAAAGCAGACCTCAAATACTGGCTTCTGGAGGCGGGATCGGAGACTTTTCAGAATTTGGAACTTGAGTGTGTTTCCCAAGTCAAAATCTAGGGCCCATGGTTGTTGCCATGGTAGAACACTGAAAATCAGGTTTGCCCTGGGAAACCTGCGATGATGGGGGCATGTGACCACACTGCTGCTGACAGCGGGCATGCAAATTGCCATCATGTTAACAGGGACGAGACCTCACCCCAGAAAATGCTCCCCAGAGCCCACATGCCCTTTTGTGACCAACCAGATTGCAAATATGACTGGAAGAGCAGGGACCATAATATTACCCCAGTTAATAAAAATTGCTGAATCTTCTTGTTAATGTTTTTCATAACATTAGAACAGAACAAAACTTGTGTGCTGGGTCCTAAGGGGAAATAGCTAGATTTTCAAATAGTCTCTTTCACAAACAGAGTCACATTCCTATACCTTGCATTTCAGAACATGGTTCTTAGAAGACAGGTCAGACTAAAAACAGCTTACTCTCCAGGGATTTGTGTTATGCACTTCATCAGGCTTAAAAGAAAAAAGAGCTAGGAAGAAATATCATTTTGCATCATAGCTCCATGCCTCTAAAGAGAAGCTCACTCAAATTTACTTTCATTTGGTTCACTGGGGTGGGAGTGGGGAACAAGATTTAACAGTACTTGAAGGTTAAATCTTTGACTTATCGTCATTGGGAAAATGCTTTCTCCTTCAGCTACACTCAATCTTAATTTTGAACCACTTCAAATTGTATTAATAACTATCCAACTGCAAGATGGTGGGGGAAATTGACTAAGGAGTTAAACTAGGAAGTTTCTTGCTATGAAACAGTTACTATGAGCAAATAAAGGGAACCTGCTAGCTTGCTGCTTTGTAAAAAATATATACATATATATTTCAAAAATGCCAATTGACCTTTCTGCTTTCTATTTATACAGAGGAAATGCCACCAGCTATTTTGGGTGATGCAGAGATAAAGCACACAAAGGAGAGTGCTGGAAGTTAATTATTTAATGTCTTTGGGGCTGAAGTTGGAGCAAAGCTCTAGGTATATTTTAAGAGTCCAGCCATCACAGTGGGCTCAGGGTAAAGGAGGTTGACAAATTAAGCAGTAGCTCAACAGGGGGAAATATACCACATTCCTCTTTCAAGAATGATGGGTTCACTAGTTAGTGTATCAGAAGGGAATGGGGCCAGGCCACTAAGGGGATAAACAGAAACAGGCAAACAGAAGGAGAAGGTGTGGGGCTGGGGGAAGGAGAGAGGCACAGCAGAGCAAAAAATGTTTTAAAGTACTTCTGCCACACCTGTGTAAGGAAAAAAATTGATAGCAGATGACTTGGACTCCAGGCCTACTCTTACCATTTACTGTGTGATCTAAGGCAAAAAAAGTGATTTCCTCTGAATCTGTTTCCTACCTGTATCTGAAGATTGCCGTAAAGAATAAATAATACAATAGGTTGAATCACATGAAATTGCCAATGCGATTCAGCCTAATGTGTTGAAGTGCTTTAAATGCCATAAAATGTTCTCAACTTTGAGGGAAAAAATCATTAAATGTATTGTCATCTTCCACCATTGGAGATTCATCCCTGAAGACTTCCTTAGGTTTCTATTATTACCATCCAAATGCACCCTGAAAGATAAACACTTTTAGCCATTTTCATCTAGCACTTAACAAGAAATTAGCCGAGAGCCAGCTAAGAGCTGACAGAACCATGAGGAAGACAGCTCTGGAAGGGCAAGTCAGTGGACTCTCCAGACCAGCCTTGCTTCCTTTCAGTGCCTCAGCCCACTTTACAGTTCATGAATCTGCAACACCACAGTGTTCATCATCGCCAGAAATCTCAGGATGCTCAAGTTTTCCTTAACTTCAGAAGGAAGTTCAGAAATTTGGTTCAACAAATAATACATTATAAAATTATATATTCACAAATATTCACTAGGAGTACCATAGTTATTAACATTTATACAGAATTGAAAACGTGACTCCAATAGGAATATTTTCTTTTTTATTTCATTTATTCATTTATTTTTGAGACAGAGTCTCACTCTGTCACCCAGGCTAAAGTGAAGTGGTGCGATCTTGGCTCACCACAACCTCCGCCTCCTGGGTTCAAGCGATTCTCCTGCCTCAGCCTCCCGAGTAGCTGGGATTACAGGCACCTGCCACTACACCTAGCTAATATTTTTTGTACTTTTAGTAGAGACAGGGTTTCACCATGTTGGCCAGGCTGGTCTTGAACTCCTGACCTCAGGTGATCCGCCTGCCTTGGCCTCCCAAAGTGCTGGGATTACAGGCGCGAGCCACCCGCACCCGGCCCCAATAGGAATATTTTCAAAGTAGATTTTTAGGTTTAGTTCAGGAGACAATCTTTCAACAGCTAGAAACATTCTTTTTTCTTCCCCAAATATTGGCTTTTCCCACTTTGATAGTTTGAATTTTTAATCCCAATTTAGCCCTCCCTATACCCCTGACCGTTGCCTTATAACTCTGTAGTTCTCAATATTTCCCCACTTCTTGACTCTTGAGTTTGGTCATGGAACTTGTTTTGGCTGAGGAATGGACTAAGGGGCTGGGAACGTGTCGGTGCACTTGGATATGTTCTCTTGCATCTCCCTCATCACCAGCCAGCCCGTCTATCATAGGAGGATGACAGAGGTGGAGCAGAGCCACCCCAGCCAGCCCACAGAGTGACACAGAGTCACCTCAGCCACTGCAGAGCAAAGCAGAGCTGCTCCAGGCTACATACAAACTCCCGGGCAAGAGATACATATGTCCTGCTGCATGCTGTTCAGGATTTGTGGTTGGTGGTTATGTGGCATTATATGTCAATAAGCTAACCAACATGTCTTCCTTCTCCTGACATCACTCTCTTTATTCCTTCTCCAACACTTTTTTTTTTTTAATCAAATCCTTGGGATTTTTTTTTTTTTTTTTTTTTTTTAGGCATTGATTTTTATAAATCTGGAGGAAGTTTGTCTCCAACTAAATTATTCTGTGGCTTCTTAGAAAAAATACGGATACCCTTTTTCAAAATGGCCCAAGTGAGTCACAAACTCTGACTTTCCCGGCCTTCAGCATATTTCAAGGTAATGTGGGATGACAGCATGGAGCCTACCTGGACCGTCTCTTCTAATTCTATTCTTTGGATTTCAGCTTAACGTGTACTGAGCTCCCATTCTGTACCAGGCACTAAGTATAGGCACATAGTTTTGAATGATAAGAATTCACCAGGCAAATAGAAGGGAGGAAAAGATCTTGCAGGCATGAGGAACACAAAGATGGAAGACACAGCCCTATAGATTCTGGGAATCTGAAATCCTTTAGTGCTGGTGGAACATGAAATATGAAAGTGATAATGTTAGGTTTAGAGAGAAGGGGATGGTGACCAGCCTCCAACATGATTTCCAATGATCCTCACTTCTGGTATATTCACGTCCTGTGTAGATCCTTCCCACACTGCCTCAGGGGCGGCCTGTGTGACCAACAGAATAATGTAGAAGTGATGGTGTGTGACTTCTGAGACTAGGTCACAAAACACACGGATTTCACCTGTATCGCCCACACTGGACGAAGCCAGCCACTATGTTGTAAGAACATGTACGCAACCCTATGGAGAGATCTCTGGGATAAAAAATTGGGGCATTTTGCCAACAGCCAGTACCACCTTGCCAGCTGTCAGTGAGCTATGGGAGCATATTCTCCAGCCCTAGTCAAGCCTACATTTGACTACAGATCTGGCTGACATCTGGACTAAAACCTTATGAGAAACCCTGAGCTAGAACCACCCCCTTTTAATTCCTGACCTACAGACACTGTGAAATAACGAATGTTTCTTGTGATGGTGTTAATACATTTTACAATATGTTTCAGCAATACATCACCAATACAGAAGGCAAAGCTCAGCTATATGCTGCCATGTTTGCTCTGCTGTGTCCTGTAGTTAGGGGCAGCCACTGCAAAGTTATTGATGAACATGATCTTTAGCTGTATCATGGCACTGGGTGGAGAGCAGGTTTGAAGAGGGTGAGACTGGAGGCAGGACAGCAGGGCAGGAGGTTTGAAAAGATGAAGGCCTGACTTGCATCTGAGGAAGTCAAGACATCCTGAGGGGAGATAATGAGAGAGAACTGAGGACTTACTGGATGGGTAGAGGAGTGATGGAGTGGTCTGTGAGGACTGGTAGTTTTATAGCGTGGGTGACTGGGCAGGAGATAGTTCATTCACAGAGCTGGGGATACAGGAAGACATGCAGATTGGGCGGTGGGAAAAATACTGAGCTCATTCCTGGGTGTTTTCAGTTTGGGGTGCTTGTGGGGTATTCAGTTAAAGAGGTCTCGGCGGCCGGGCGCGGTGGCTCACACCTATAATTCCAGCACTTTGGGAGGCCGAGGCAGGCAGATCACAAGGTCAGGTGTTCGAGGCCAACATGGTGAAACCCCATCTCTACTAAAATACAAAAATTAGCCAGGCGTGGCAGCAGGCACCTGTAATCCCAGCTACTGGAGAGGGCAAGGCAGGAGAATGGCTTGAACCTGGGAGGTGGAGGTTGCAGTGAGCCAAGATCACGCCACTACACTCCAGCCTGGGTGACAGAGCGAGACTCTGTCTCAAAAATAAATAAATAAATAAATAAATAAAAACAAAAGGTCTAGGCATGGAGCTTCAGGTGTCTGGAAAATTCTGTCTTGATAGTGTGAAATGGATCTACTTAATGAACTCCAAAAACAGAGCAGTGGATAGTTTTGATGCTATACCTGCAAATAACCAAAAACAGTGTTAGCTTCTAGAAAATGCACCCCCTTTAAGGCTCCTGAATGGGATTTTAGGTTATGTGAATGCTTAAAATAATAATAATAATAAGCAACAGCATCTAGCACTTTCAGGAAGTAACTGGGTAAAATTACAGCCTCTAGCTGATAGCTGTCTGCTGGTGGCATCTCCTCCCCACTCACACCATGGTATATTCTTCTAAATTAGTAGTTCTCAACCTTGGCTCTGCATTCAAAGCACCTGGAAAATTTCATGAGGATTAAGTGGAATGGTTTAAAAATAACTGTCAGATGGCAGATGTTTGCTATCGCTTTCTTCCTGCCTAAAAAGTGAGACTACACTCTTACCTCTCTCCCTCTCCTGAACCAAAAGGGATCTTCTCATGGAAAGAGTTTTGTACAATGCAAAACTTTATTCAAATATATGTGTCTCTAAAAGATAACTCTTAAGAAACATAGCCACAATACTATCACATCTCAATTATCCATAATTCCTGTATATAAAATATCCAATCAGTATTCTCATGTCCCTCACTAGTTGAATTTTTATTTGTTCAAATTAGAATAAAGCCCAGTTGCTTCAATTGATATGTCTCCTCAATCTCTTTTAATGTATAGAGTCTACCACCATGTTTCTTTTTCCCCTGTAATTCATTTATTAATGAAACCAGGTCATTTTTCTTGTAAACTTTCCTTCAGTCTAGGATTTACTGATTGCATCCTCATGTGTTTTAAAAACAAACTTTTACAAAAAGTTTTACATTTGCAGGCCAGGTGCAGTGGCTCACTCCTGTAATCCTAATATTTTAGGAAGCGCAGGTGGGAAGATAGCTCAAGGTCAGGAGTTGGAGACCAGCTTGGGCAATATACTAAGACTCATCTATATATTTTTAAAAGCTTTTTACATTTACAGGAAAATTGTGGAAACAGTACCTAGAGTTCCCATTACTCCAACTAATTTACTCTATAATTACCATCTTACATTATGGTACATTTCTTGCAATAATGAACCAATTTTGATACATTATCATTAGACAAAGTCTATACTTTATTCAGATTTCTCTAATCCATTTAGTCATGTCATGTGTCCTTAGGCTAGTCTTTATTGTGACAGTTTCTCAGACTTTCATTGTATTTCATGATTGCTATTGACTGAATATTTTTGTTCCCCCTAAATTCATATGTTAAAATCCTAACTCCCAATTTATTGGCATTTGGAAGTAGGGCCTTTGGGAGGTGATTAGGTCATGAAGGCAGGGGCCTCACGAATTAGATTAGTGACTTTCTAAAAGAGGTGTGTACATGTCTATAAATATTTCCCTATGTAAACATATGTAGCTATATTAAGTTAAACATGAGTTAATACAGATGTCTCCAACTCAAATCCACTATTACATGGATCATTCTAGTCTCTTCCTGATATTTTGAAAAGGGGCATCTTTATATTTCTAATAATTGGTATTTAGGTTGAGATTCAACTTCAATTTTGTGAAAGAAAAATTAATAGGAGGTGAGGTATTCTTCCATCATGAAGTGCACAGTAACTGGTTGCCTTTTCATGATGTTAGCAACCATTGATGATCATTCCCTAGGATCCATTAATTCTTTAAAGTTTAAAAAAAATGTAAAATTGTTATTGGCTCCTTCTTCTTTGATTAGCTAGAATACTTAAAACAAAAATTTCCTATCATCAACTATTTAGTAGCCCTGAGGAAGCGCCCATATAAAAAAGGCAGGATGGGCTGGGCACTGTGGCTCACGCCTGTAATCCCAGCACTCTGGGAGGCCAATGTGGACAGATCACATGAGATCAGGAGTTCAAAACCAGCCTGGCCACCATGGTGAAACCCTGTCTCTACTAAAAATACAAAAATTAGGTGGGCGTGGTGGTGGGCACCTGTAAGCCCAGCTACTCAGGGAGGCTGAGGCATAAGAATCGCTTGACCCTGGGAGGCAGAGGTTGCAGTAAGCCAAGATTGCACCACTGCACTCTCTAGCCTGAGTGACAGAGCAAGACTCCATCTCAAATAAATAAATAAATAAAATAAAAAAGCATGATAAATGCTTAATTCTTTTCCTCATTATTTTAAAAATGAATTGGTTCCTTAGCATCCTCCTAGACTGACCACAGAGCTATTTTTGGTTCCATGTACCATTATGAACTTGAAGCAGCTTTTTAGGTACATGGCTCAGCCCTCTACCTCCAGCCTTGAGTCCTGGGCATTCTACCTCAGGATAGTGAAATGGGGGATGGTTGGTGGGGGTGGGGAAGTGGGGCAGAAGCAAAGAGGGATTTGAAAGGGATGGCAAGGTTGGGGGTTCTTAAGGGCTTCCATATTCCTTCATCCAGAAAAAGCTCTGGTCTCCAAAGCATTAATTCCTGAATAGCTGTTGCCTTGGTTTTTATAGATTTCGTGTTGCCTGATTTGAGTCCATCTTTAAACGTCTCTTCAAGCAACCAGGAAAGAAAGAACAGCCTGAAGATCTGGAAAGGGCATGTTTAACCCTAAATCCTTAAAAGTAGCTAATCTAGGAAACAAGGTCACCTTTGAAATGCTGGGGAAAGGGGTAGATCACCTCTTCTCTACCTTAGCTATTAGTTACCTGAAACACCTTTGAAAAGCCACATATGTCCCTGCATTGCCTCCACAGATTCTGATTCAGTTGGTCTAGTTGGAACCCTGAAATTGGCAGTTGCTATCAGCTTTTAGAGCAAAGTGAGTGTAACATGAAGCCAGGCCATTTCCAAGTCCCCAGAATGATAGCAGGCCATCGTGGATTGTATCACACTTACAGCTTTATCACCTTGATCTGGCCGTCTGATGTTAGTAGTTGGCATGTCCACCCTGTAACTCAGAAGACTAAGCTAGGAAAAATGATGCCCAACAGTTTTCATCCTTGATGAGTGTGGCTGAGTTCCAACCCCTGGGTCTTTAACATAACACATAGCACGGTGCCCCAACCCTCGACTCCAAGAATGGCTACATTTACTTTCTGCCTGGCACTGTTATAAGTGCTTTACATATCTCAACATCCCTAATAGGTTGGTATCATCTCCACTGAACAGATGAGCTATTGTGATCTGAGGGAGTTAAGTGGCTTGTTAAGGTCATAAACTCGTTTCTGGGTGGGTCCAGACTCTTTCCCACCACATGCTGTCACTTACAGGCTGTGACTTTATGCCTAGCTCCCGTCAAGGAGCTGCCTTCTGCTTTCTATTGCATAATCAATATTGACACCTGGTGTAGGGGCGCTCTGCAGGTTGGGGAAGGCCTGGCCTGGGGTGAGGGATCCTGCATCTCAGCATCAGGCCCTGAGTAGGCCTCTGCCCTAGTGGTAGGGTAACCCACCCTCCTTCACAGCTCAGAGGTCTCAGGGTGTGTGAGGGAAAGACTAGAAAGCCTAGGAGGCTTCTACCTCTCACTCCTCCTCACTCCCAGTCCTGGACCACAGGATTTCACTCACAGCTCCTTCCACCCCCATACTTTCCCTGAAAATCTCACTGCCCTGTGACTTCTCCATGTGCCACTTCCTGTGCGTCAGACCCCCACGATCAGCTGCCCACTGCCTATGGTCACCCCAATTCCTGACTAGAACTACACTTATCACTGCTTACCCTTCTCTTACTCTCCCCTTCTCAGAAAATGACACCACATCCAGGAAACTCTGAACCACCACTAGCCCAGCGCTCCCTCTTCCCCATTCACTCAGTCACCAAGTCCCCTCAGTTTCACCACTCAAGATAGTTGTTAGACCATGGCGCCTCTCCATCCCCATTTCCCTAGGATGGGCCTTGGTGTCTGAGGCCAACCCTGCCTCATTTCCTCCTAAAGCCCACCCAGGCCTTGTGCTTTGTGTACCACTACACCCAACCAAATGTACTTATTGCTTCTTTGGCTCCCAGCACTCAACTGAGAGCCCCAGCTCTTCCTCACCTGCTGGGACACTCCAGATGACTCCAGATTGTGAGGTAGGCGTTTATGTACCAGCCTTGCTCCAGGTTCAGGGCGCTGCCATACCTTCAGCCCCGCCCCGCCGCAAGCCCAACCCAGAGGCTGCTTATGGTTTCCCTAAGGTTCCTGGGCCCTGGACATCAGTCCGGTCTGCAAGCTCCGCCCTGATTGGCTGCCTCCCGCACCGGTCGCAGCGCCCGGACCTAAGGTGCCTAAGTTCCTCCCCTTATCCCTGAAGGGATGGGGCCTTGCGACACCGCCCACTCTTGGATGGGTCCGAGGTGAGACCCGCCCTTGTGCCCTCGTGGGCCTTCGGGACAGCGGAGGAGCAGTGTCGGGCCATGGCTAGGGCCGGCAAGCTGGAGCTGGCCGAGGCTCTGGCGCTGGGGCCAGGCTGGAGGCCTGCCTGCTATGCGCTCCTGCACGCGCCTGACCCTGGGATTCTCTTTGGCCGCCTCCGCCTGCGCTACGCCATACTGGTGAGGAGGGGGCGCGCCCAGCCTCTCTCCACTATGGCCCTGCCCCTCCCTGTGGCGCTACTCTTGGGTGTCCCTGCCAATCCCAGCTTCCTTCTCTCGCAGATGCAGATGCTCTTCGATGGGCGCCTGGGCTTCCGTGGCGGATTCGTGGACTCGCAAGACAGCAGCCTGGAGGACGGGCTGAACCGTGGTCTGCTGGAACAGCTGGGCGAGGCGGCGGCCGCCTTCCGTGTGGAGCGCCCTGACTGCCGTAGCTCCCACGCTGGATCAGATGCCAAGTCTCTGACGCTCGAGCAGCTGTCGGCTGTGGAGTCCAGCGCAACAGGCGCCAAGGACCACGGGCTGGAGGTGGGGCCAGTCTGGGACCCTGCTCCGTATCCTATTCCTTTCCCTTCCGTTCCTTCCTTTGCCTCAGAAACTCTTTTTGGATTGAGGTCCCCGTCTGTCAGAACTTGCCCTTTTCCCCATTTTCTTGGTGGAGTTGAGATCTTGGTCTTCTCTTATTGAATGGTACTGCCAACCTAGGTTCCCGGGAAGATTTCCACCCACCTCGCCCTTTACTGGGCTCTGGAGAGATTTTTCTAGAATACACATGTCCACATCTCTCTGCTGCTCTCTGTTGATAATGTGTAAATGGCCAGGCATCTACCCTAATCCCTTATTGTTGGGCCTCTGTTTTTCTTAGGAAGAAGATATGGCCCTAATACTTAAGGCCAGGGTAGGAGACAGATTGTATACGGAGGTAGTTCTCAAATTTTGTCAAGTATCAGAATCATCTGTGAGGCTTATAAAAACAAAATGACTAGATTCTACTCCCAGAATGCTGATCGTGGGTGAGAAAGCACCAGCTTCCACCACTCCCAAGTCCTGGGGGCAGGGGTTCAGAAATCTGAGAATCTGTTTTTTTCAAAAGTTCCCAAGTGATGCTAATAACGCTGGTCTAGGTTTCCCATTTTGAGAACCATTGTTGCAGGGTTAAGCATGAATTTTGGCGTTAGGAGCCAATAGAGTTTTAGGGGACAGATGTCATAAGGATTAACACTGATGGAGCTGGATAGCATGTCTTGGGTCATTTGTAGAGCGTTCGGTCCACTGGGCCTCCTTTAAATAGGAGCCTTGGGCTTGTTTCTGCTGGAGTATTAAGGGTTGAGGTATCTGCTCTAGAAAGATCTGCTAAAGAGAGGATGGAGGTAGTGACATGAGCTACCTGGAGTCCCAGTGTCTCCTGTCTCCTTACTTTTACAGGTGCTGGGCCTGGTGCGAGTGCCCCTGTATACCCTGCGTGATGGTGTGGAAGGCCTGCCCATCTTTCTAGAGAATTGCTTTATTGGTGCTGCCCGGGAGCAGTTACTGGATACCCTCCATGACTTGGGAGTGGTGGAAGCTGGTGCTTTCTCAGGCCTTCAGATCCCAGTTCGTCTGAGGCATCCCTCTGTGGACTCAGGGAACCTGAGATGAGGACTTTGGTACAAGGAAGGGAATGTTTTCTCTTCTGGACCTCAAGATGATACCAAATTAAAAGATGACATGTATATCATATGTTTTGAGTAGAGGACCCTCCAATTCGTGGGATCAGGGACAAAAATCCACAGCTCATTCCAGGGGCCCTGGCAGGTTCTCAGAGCCTACCTCTTCCTTGTGTATTTGCATACAGCCTAGTAACCCCCAGGCATGCATATGTATAATGTGACCACACACAGCCTGACATCTTTCACCTGTGAGGTTCAATTTAAGCAGGAATTGGCATCTTTTACCATAGCCTGCCTCTTGCTTTGCAGAGAGCTTCTACAGCAAGGGTGAGTCCTTCCCACAGTCCTCCATGGCTACTCTTTAGGGTCTAGCCCAGCCCATGTTTTTTGGGAAGGATAGAGAAGCAGAGGACCCTCTTTGCTTTCCTGAAAGTAGCCATGCCCTTGCTGGAGGGTTCACCAAAGCAATTGGTGGGAGAGGGTCTTAACCAACCTCCAACACTTTGCTTCTCCTGAAACTGAGAAGGGGCAAGGAAGCAGCTAGGTCCCCTTGGACGGAGCATGGACGTGAGACCTGTGAGTACTGGTGTCTCTCCTTCAGAGCTTTCATCTTTGGTTCGCTGTAGACTCGGGGACTATCAGAAGAGAACTGACTCATACCTGTCCAGACACTTGAGGCCCTTCATTCACTTCTTTCAACAGCTATTTAATATGTACCTACTAAATGCCACGTACTATAAAAGGTATAGAAAGCCATCCTTGCTCTCCAAGACTCCAGGGCAGGGATGGGCAAACATTTTCTTAAAAGCCAGATAGCAAATATTTTAAGCTTTGTAAACTACATAGTTTTTAAAAAAATATTTTCTAACATTGACTAATAAAAATTGCCTATATTTATTGTGTACAAAATGATGCTTTGAAATATGTATACATTGTGGTGTGGCTAAATTGAGCTAATTAGCATATGCATTACCTCACATTTATCATTTTTCATGGTAAGAACATAAAATTTACTCATAGCAATTTTCACAAATATAATGCAGCTATTAACTATAGTCACCATTCATGCAACAGATCTTTTGAACTTATTTCTCCTAACTGAAATTTTGTATTCTTTGATCAATATCTTCTCAATTACTGTTCCCTACCCCCAGCGCCTGGGAACCATTATTTTACTCTCTGTTTCTATGTGTTTAACTTTTTTAGATGCCATATATAAGTGAGATCATATGGTATTTGCACCTAGCTTATTTTATTTAACATGTCATCTAGGTTAATCCATATTGTCACAAATGACAGGATTTCCTTCTATTTTAAGGCCAAATAGTATTCCATTATGTATATATACCACATTTTCTTTATTCATTTCTCTGTTGATGGACACTTACGTTGATTCCACATCTTGGCTATTGTGAATAATGTTGCAGTGAACATGGGAGTACAGATATCTCTCCAGATCCTAATTTCAATTCCTTTGGATAAATACCCTGTAATGGGATTGCTGGACCATAAAGTAGTTCTTTATTTTTAAATACCTCCATGCTGTTTCCCATGATGATCATACTAATGTACATTTCCACCAATATTGTGTAAGTGTTCCCTTTTCTTCATATTTTCTCTAATACTTATCTTTCATCTTTTTAAATCATAGCCATTCTAACAGGTATGGGGTGATATCCCATAGTGGTTTTGATTTTCATTTTCCTAATAATTAGTGATGTTGAGCATTTTTTATATACCTATTGGTCTTTCTTTGAGAAATGTCTATTCAGGTCATCTGCCTCATTTTTAATTGGGTTATTTGTTTTCTTGCTATTGAGTTTTTCATGTTCCTTATATATTTTGGCTATTAACCTCTCATCAGTTGTGCGATTTGAAATTATTTTCTCCCATTCTATAGATTGTCCCTTAACTGTGTTAACTGTTTCCTGTGCTATGCAGAAGGTTTTAGTTTGATGTAATCCCATTTGTCTATTCTTCTTGTTGTTGCCTGTGCTTTTGAAGTCTTATCCAAAAAAATCATTGTCCAGACCAATGTCATGGAGCTGTTACCCTGTTTTCTGTAGTTTTATAGTTTCAGGTCTTGCATTTAAGTCTTTAATCTATTTTGAGTTTATTTTTTATATGGTATGAGATAAAGTTCTAATTTTATTCTTCTGCACAGAAATATGCAGTTGTCCCAACACCATTTATTGAAGAGATTATCTTTTCCCCATTGTGTATTCTTACCCTCTGTGGAAAATCAATTGACCATAAATGTGTGGATTTATTTCCAGGATCTCTATTCTGTTCCACTGGTCTATGTGTCTGTTTTTAATGACAGTACCATGCTGTTTTGGTTACTATAGCTTTGTGGTACATTGTGAAGTCAAGCAATATGATACTTCTAGCTTTGTTGTTTTGGTTAAGATTTTTTGGCTATTCAGAGTTTTTTTGTAGTTTCATATGAATCTTTGAATTTTCTATTTCTTTGAAAAAGGTCACTGGAATTTTGATAGGGATTGCATTGAATCTGCAGATTGCTTTGAGTAATATGGACATTTTAACAACATAAATTCTTCCAGTTCATTAACAAGGGATGTGTTTTCATTTATTTGTTGGGCCATTTATTTGTGTCTTCTTCAATTCCTTTTTTTTTTTTTTTTTTTTTTTTTGAGACAGAGTCTCACTCTGTCACCCAGGCTGGAGTGCCGTGGCACCATCGCAGATTACTGCAACCTCCTCCTCCCAGGTTCAAGCAAGTCTCCTGCCTCAGCTTCCTGAGTAGCTGGAACTACAGGCATGCACCGTCCTGCCCAACTAATTTCTGTATTTTTACTAGAGATGGGGTTTCGCCATGTTAGCCAGGCTGGTCTCCAACTTCTGACCTCAGGTGATCCACCCACCTTGGCCTCCCAGAGTGCTGGGATTATAAACATGAGCCACCCCACCTGACTTTCAATTACTTTCATCAATGTCTTATAGTTTTCAGTGTAGAGGTCTTTCATCTGTCTGACTAAATTTATTCCTAAGTATTTTAATCTTTTGGTAGCTATTATAAATGGGATTGTTTTCTCAATTTCTCTTTTAGATAGTTTGTTTTTTATTGTACAGAAATGCTACTGATTTTTGTATGTTGACTTTGTTTCCTGCAACTTTACTGAATTTGTTTTTTAGTTCTAACTTTTTTTTGCTACAGTCTTTAGGGTTTTCTATATATAAGATCATGTCTGCAAACAGGGAAAACGTAACTTCTTATCCAATTCGAATGCCTTTTCTTTCTTTTGAGTAATTGCTCTGGGTAGGACTTCCAGTACTGTGTTGCATCCTTCTCTTATTTGTGACAGACAGAGCCTTGCTCTGTCACCCAAGCTGGAGTGCAGTGGCGCTATCTCAGCTCAAAGTAATTATTGACAGGTAAAAACTTACAGCCATTTTGTTAATCATTTTCTCATTCTCTATAGGTGTTTTGTTCCTTTCTTTCTGTCTTGCTGTCTTTTGTGATTAGGTGATTTTAAAATTTGTATTCTCTGATTTTTTGCTTTTTATCTTTTATGTATCTACTGTATGTTTTTGCTTTGTGGTTACCATAAGGCATATATAAAATATAATTGTAATAGGCTATTTTAGGCTGACTACAACTAAATATTAATTGTATACAGAAACTCTACACTTTTACTCCATCCTTAATGTTATAATTTACATCTTTTTATATTGTGTATCCCTTAACAAATTTTTGTCACTATTATCTTAATAGATTTGTCTTTTAACCATTATATTAAAGATATAAGTGATTTATGCAGCACCTGAATTTGACTGTGCACTTACTTTTTCCAGTGAGTTTAAGGCTTTCATATGCTTAGTGTTACTAATTAGCATACTTTTCTTTCAACTTAAAGAACTCCCTTTAGCATGTCTTGTAAGACATGCCTGATAATAATGAAGTCCCTCAGCTTTTCTTTGGGAAAGTTTCTATGTCTCTTTCATTCTTGAAGGCAGTTTTTCCAGGTACAGCATTATTGTTCCAGCATTTATTTCCTTCAACACTGAATATATCATCCCACTCTCTCACGGCCTGTAAGGTTTATGCTAAGAAATCTGCTGATAACCTTATTGGAGCTCCCTTATATGTTATTTCTTTTCTTTTCTCTTGCTGCTTTTAGGATCCTCTCCTTGCTTTGATTTTTGATAGCTGCATTATAACGTATCTTGGTATGGTTTTGTTTAGATTGAATCTTGTTGGAGATCTTTCACCTTCCTGACCCCAGATTTGGAAAATTTTATGCTATTATTTCTTTAAATATACTTTCTAGCCCGTTTTCTTCCTTTTCTTCTTCTTGGGCTCTTATAACTCAGTATTTCCTCTTTTGATGCTGCTCCATAAATCCCACGGGGCTTCTTCATTCCTTTTAATTCCTTTTTATTTTTCTTTTCTTACTATATATTTTCAAATAAACTCTCTTTAAGTTTATAGATTATTTTTTCTGCTTGATCAATTCTGCTGTTGATATTCTATTACATTTTTTGTTTCATTCCTGGTATTTTCCAGCTCCAGAATTTCTGAATTTTTAAAAATATAATTCTAATCTCTTGGTTATTATTTTCCTCATTTATTGAATTATCTATCTGTAGTGTTTTGATGTTTGCTGAGCTTCCTTAAAATAATTATTTTGATTTGTCAAGAAGATGATGAGTCTCCTTTTCTTTTAGTTTGGATACTGGTTCTTTATTTAGTTCTTTGCAGGGAGGGAGTTGGGGGTGGATCAGGTTTTCCTGATTGCTCTGAATCCTTGTGGCTGAGTGTTGATATCCACACATTTGAAAAAACAGGGACTTATTCCAGTCTTTTCAAGCTTGTGTCATCTGGGGCAGCCTTTTACCAACTAGCCTGTCCAGAAATTCTGGGCAGGCCATCTGGCACGATCTGCAGGGAGGTTTGCTGCTGGACTCTTCAGATAGGCTTATCTGGTGTCTGGGTCAGAAAGTGGGGTCCTGGAGGCTAGGTCCATGAAGGCAGGCCTGGAGCCTACTTCTGCAATGACTAGTCTGAAGCTTGGGTCCACAGGGGCTGACTTGGAACTAATATAGACCTTGACCCTGAGTCTGCACAGGCCAGCCAGGCACTGGCAGGGAATGGGTGCCTGGATCCACTGGGATGGGCCTGTACTCTGAGTATACAGGGACTGGCCTGACACTGGGGTGGGCCTGGAACCTGAGTCTTTGGTGGGGCTATCTTGGGTCTTGTGTCCACAAGGCCTGGTCTGGAGTCTAGGCCTATAGATGTGGTCCTAGAACCTTGGCCCACAGGGCCCAGCCTGGCACCAGGGTCTGCTGGGCTGGGGTCTAGACTCTGGGTTTGCTGGAGCAGGCCTGAACTGTGGATCAAAACTGGAGCCATGAGCACTGACCTGGAGCCTGGGCCCAGTCTGATGCTGGGTCAGGCATGGCGCTTGAAACTGCAAGGGCTGGTCTAAAGCTTGGGATCCTGGGTGCTAATGTGGAGCCTGGAGCCATGGGGGCTGGCCTGGAGCCTGTAGCTGTGGGGGCTGGCCTGAAAGCTGGGTATGCAGTTACTGACATGAAAACTGGGTCCAAAAGGGCTGGCCTGTGTCCTAGGTCTGCTGGAGTGTTGGGACACGTGGTCTATCCTAGAAGGTGAGCATACAGAAAATGGCCTGGCACTGGGCAGGCCTGGAGCCTGAGTCCACAAGGGAAACCCTAAAGCCTGAGGCTATGGGGACTAGTCCCCCAGTGCTTAGAGTGGTCTAGAGCCTGGAGCAGACAGGACCAACATGGCCCTGCGATGGGCCTGGAGCCTTTGTCTATGGGGGCTGACCTGGCACTGGGGTTAGTCTGGGGCTTGGGGCCATGAGATCTGGTTTAGTACTGGAGCAGACCTGGAGGCTTAGTCTGCAGGTACCAGCCTAAAG